GAAAGTAGATATTAATGGCATGCCTCAACAGTGACACTGCTGGGTGGATGGGGCATATTAAACAAAAGAGGCAGAGGAGGCTTGATTAAACTGTAACACAGAATGAATGTCACAAGAGCCATGGAATAAAAGCCCGATGTTTGTCAAGGTAGAAAGCGGCAGTAGATAACAGTGAAAGAGGCTGAGCAGGGGCTTTGGAACAGAGGTGGCATCTAGGCTGGGCCTTGAAGGGCTAACAAAGATTCCTGGGGGGAAGAGGAAAGAAGGGAAGGGTATCCCTGGCTTAGGTGACCTGAGTCCAGGCTGGGTAGCAGCACTGAGCTGAGTCACGGAGGGCTCTGCACTTGGGCTGGATTCTCCGAGCAGAGGGGAGGCTGAGGGCCTCAGGGGAGGGAGGAGCATGGTCAACACCACGCCGTGCTGTGCGGGAGAAGAGCCTGGGCTGCAGAGGCAGCGTATTAGAGCAGTGAGACCCCTCAGAAGGCTGGGAAACGGCATTAGTCTGAGTCAGGGGCAGTAAAGGAACGGTGCGAGACAATACAGACAAAATTGACTCAGTTCAACACAGGATGACCCTGTGGGTTTGAGCCACCATGACCATGAGGGCAGCCCTCTCTGGGGTTGGCACCAGGAGAGAGGCAGGAATGTGGGAGAAATGGCAAGTTTGACTGCAGCTGGCTACATGGAGGTGCCCGAGGCACATCCGGGAGCCACAGCTAGAAGATAAGTGACAAGTCCTGAGTTGGAGAGAGAAGGCCCTTCCAGAGCTGTGGCCACAGTCTGTCCTCGCCTTCCCCATGCTCAGGCAGCCCTCTCTGGGGTTGGCACCAGGAGAGAGGCAGGAATGTGGGAGAAATGGCAAGTTTGACTGCGGCTGGCTACATGGAGGTGCCCGAGGCACATCCGGGAGCCACAGCTAGAAGATAAGTGACAAGTCCTGAGTTGGAGAGAGAGGGCCCTTCCAGAGCTGTGGCCACAGTCTGTCCTCGCCTTCCCTGTGCTCAAGTCTCAGTCTCACCTTGATCCCTGCTGAATGGTGGCCCCGAGGGGAGGGGAGGAAGCCCCCTTGGTGGGGCTGTGCCCTGGACTCCACGCCCTCTAGGAAAAGCCTTGAGTTCAGGTTAGCGGACATGACAATGAGGCTCGCATCTGAGCTGTGTGTGGCTCCTGGTCCTTGGAGATGCAGAGTCCAGATCGGCATGGACCTTTGTACTTTCAAAAAAACAATTACCAGATTCAAATGCAGATTCATGGGTCCCACCCACACTCTCTACTACTTTAATAGGTTGAGCGGGGCCCAGGATGCACCCCAGGTGACACCAGGGTACACAGCCTGCTGACCAGCTTGCAGAAGCCCTGATTTAAGGAAATGTTAGGGTCAGATCCGCCTGCAGTTGGAGCCTCTTTTTTCTGTCTCTGCTGAGAACGTAGAGATAGGAGGGCCTGGGGGACTCTACAGAGATGGGAGGTTGCCGGCACCCAATACGAGATGGAATAATAATAACTACCACATCTGAGTGCTTACAACTATGGCCAGGTGTTGTTCTGATGCCTCCGAGTCGATCTTTGTAACAATTTTCTTCATTTTGCAGATGACGTGACTGAGACTTAAAGTCAAATCACCCGAGTGGCAAGCAGTGGAGCCCAAGCCGCAGGTATATATTCCATGCCTGCCACGGGCACTGAAGCACAGGGTAAGTGTTGGCAAGTCACAGCCTTCCCTCAGGCCTCAGTCTTCCCCTCTATATAATGGAGAGAACCATTCTCACTGGCTTTCTGGAGACCCCCCCAGGAAGCCAGCAGCATTTTCCCCAAGCAGCACCCCTGCCACGTCTGGGACGCCACAGCCGGTCTGGGTGCCGCCGGCTGGGCACGTCTGGAGCTTCTGCCCACCCATCGCTGGATGGAAAGGGCAAAGGGCACTCCTTCTGCCCTGTGCTGTGTGCTCCTTACAAAGGTCTCACTGTGCAAGTCTCAATAGGAGGCTCTGTTTGGCGGCAATAATATTATTTCCTGCTGCTGCGTCACCTCCATTTTTAAACTGGGAATATTCAGCTGCATTTTCCTCTGCAGGCAGTGCCATTTCAGACCAATATGAAGCTTCCAGGTCCCATAACCTGGGAAACACACAGCAGGGGGCAGGTGACATAGCTTGAAGAAACTGAGAAAGACGGGCAGAAGGGAGTGACGGCTGCACTGTACTGATTTACTTCAGTGGCTTGTTTCTGCAGGTTTCCACTTAAATTTCTTCAAAGTGTCCTAAGCATTTATTTCTGGCCTCGATACTCATTAAAGAACCTGCAATCTCATTGAAGGAGCAGGTCATAGGTTCCAGTGAAGTCACATTAAACGATCCTTTGCAAAGCTCCCTCTCTGAAAAGAGGGCCCTGGCCACTCACTCACCCGAAGCAACACAGACTGTATGATCAGAACGCAGGAAGAAACCCTGATTTCCTCATCCGCATTCTACCGCCCATCTCCTGAGGGAAGAGCAGGCTAGTGGAAATTCTACAGAGGTCGGTAACCTTGGGTAAGGTTATTTGCAGAAGTAGTTAGTATTTTTCTCAGGCTGTAAAAGCAGTGAGTTTAGGGTGTGAAAACTCTGACCACATCCCTGCCACCTCTGATAACTTTTATTCTTCGGGGTTTGCTCATTTCATCCCCCTACTCTTTAGCCTAACTGACTACGTCGCATACCCCACATTATTAACATGTGATTGCATTCTGTCCAACTGAGCAGGGAAGGCAGTCTGCTTTGCAAGTCTTTTTCATTCCCACCTGCCATAAAGCCATCTGCTGACTATTCCGAGTCCCCCGAGCCAGGGTATTCCGAGTCCCCTGGGCCAGGTGCTAGACTCATGAAGATGTCCCTCATCCCTAAAAAGAAGGAACCACCTGGAATAAAGGGAAAGAAACCCACGGCCGCTGAGAAAGAAGGCCGAAGAGAAACTCGGAGCACTGGCAAGAAGGGATGTGCCCACTGGGTAAAGGTGGCAGGGGAGGGAAGGCAGAAAAGGGACCAGAAGCAAGAAAGGGGCCATAGAATGGGACAAGTGTGATGAGTGCAGAGGGACATTCAGGAATGACAAAGAGGAAAAACAGACTGATGGGGTCTCTTCAGTATGTCTGAGAGAAAAAACAGAGCTTTTCTGTATTTGTTGAACGAAGTGCCTCTGATTAGAGGCTCTGTCTCCAATCTCAGTGAACTGCCAGTGCGGGGCCTAGAAAGGACATCCGGGACATCTACTGCAAATCATTGCGCAGATGAGCAGCTAAAGCCCAAAGAAGTGAGGTGACTGGCCCAAGGTCACTCGGCAAGTTAGTGATGGAGGGCAACAAGAACTGAACACTCCTGGCTGGGTGCATTTCCAACAAGAAGGGCTCCCCGCCAGCAATTCCCCCGGTGACAAACGTCACTGACCAGTCACTTGGGAAATATTAGTCATGGCTTACTAACACTCTGCGACCAATCCAAGGGCCTACAGGGCCCCATGTGAACTCCAAAAGCAAGGCAGATCATAATCTTGACTTCACCTTCCAGGCTGATGCCAAACAGTCTATGTTTCTCCAAGTTCCAGTGTGACTCCACAGCTGGTGGAATGCCCACTGGTGCCAAGTGACAGACTCCACTGACAAAACAGCAGGCCAGCGTCTGCAGGTATATGTGGAGAGCCCCCTTGAGAGTGGTACCCTAAGTTAGAAGGTACGCATCAAGAAAGAAGTACTAAGGCTTAAACTTGGAGGCTTTTTCTGGACAATGATGAGAGAGCTGTTACTAACAAGTGGCCCCCGATCCTTCAGACACTCAGAAGTCCAGAACTAAGAAAACATGAAAAGGTGAGTGTGTGATTAAAATGCAAGGAAGCTCAGACTAGAAGGGATGGCTGGGCAACATTCTTATAGGTGGTAGGATAGAAAAAATTAAGCTTAGAGACAAACCCCAAAGCCACAGGTAGAGAGACCATCATTTTGAAAAGTAACCAGTTAAGATAGGTTTTTCTAAAGCATTAAATAGCTAAGTTCCTTCTATTTTGATCCTCTTCAGAAATGAACTGCTGGCTCTTAAGACAGACTTTATGTTGACTTTCACTCTTGGATGAAATCTTTATACACACACACACACACACACACACACACACACACACACACACACACGAGTCTCTGGTGTGAGTGTGTGCATGTGTGTGTGTGTCTGATGAGCCACTGTGCAGCTTGCCTAGCACTTCAAAAACAAAATATTTGTCAAAGGGACATTCAGTAGGCATGCTAGAAACTGACCATTTGCAAGCAAACTCCTAATATGTGCTATGACTCCAGGAACTGTATTTTAGATTTGGCTACATGAAAAGCATAAATCCTTCAGAGCAAGATACGAAGGGCACTTTAATGGCTTGCTTTTGCGTGTCTGTACTCCAGTTATTGGTGGGAGCAATTTTCTCATCTAAACGACAATTAATATTATCTGTGGATCCTTCGCCAAGCAGGACTGCCCAAACCCAGGCCAGGAAGTATTACCCCCATTTGATTTTCGATCAGAAGAGAGATTCCTGGTTCAACATTTGCCACACCCCATCCTCATTTCTAGAAGACTCATCCCTCAGGAATGTTTTAAAACCAAAATCAAATACTTACGAGTAAAGGCTCAAAATTGATAGCTCTGGAGATTACCTTAAATGCTGTGTTTTCAAAATAACCACAATCAGATCGCAATTCAGGTTAAAGGGAGACAAAAGTCCTAAAGCAGGGAAAGCAAGAAGCCCCTCCTTCTATCCTACCAAAACGCTCTAGAACCATATTCTCAAGTGCAACAAGAGTACTAGTTGGACAGAAAAATGTAAGGAAACAAGACAACCGCTGGCCCACCCCTACCCGCTTATGTGATAGATCAAGCCATCACTTGATTCAGCAACTTTTAGAAGGAAAGAATCAAACAGCACGGACTCATTTTCAAATGATACAGGTTCCCGAGTACTAAGATTATTATTGTTAAGCTGTCTTACTGATCATGGTGGTTCCCCCAGCCAGGGCTGCTTTGGTGCCTTGAAAGAAGTCATCAGCAGAAGTCATTCCCTGGTCAGGCATCTGAAAGCGGGTGTGGACGTCGATCCCTCCAGGAATCACCATCCTAGAATGGGCCTCGATGGTCTTCACCCCTCCTGGCACAATCAGGTTTTCTCCTATTTGCCTAAATAAACAGGGTGGGTGAGAACGGTGATAAATAAAATGTCTCCAAATCAAATGGGATCTGACGGACATTTCCACCAAGCCCTAAACTATCCTTCCCTATGTTCCCTAGACTGTTCCAGTTACTGTGATTACTTATAATATGTACACTCCCCACTTCCTACCCACCAACTAAGAGGCAATGCAGCACTTACTAGAAAACAAAATTTAAATAAGATATCAGAGGCCCGATCAAAAGGCTTAGTTACTAGAAAACCCCTAAGATCAAATGATAACAAGGACCCAAGATATTTACATAAAATGCCACTACACTTTCTCTGTAACACACACAGTTGAGCTAATTATCCTACAGCAATTTTCTCCAGAGCTGTTTGCCTTTACAAACATGTCTTCACCAGATCCTTTGCAATTTAGAGACAATAGGAGTGTGGAAGGGTGGAGGTAGAGCAAAACAAAGCAAAAAAAATAAATAAGTAAACACTATGATTGAAACTATTTAAAATTTTGGAAACGTGGATTAGCAACTCAGGTAATAAAGGCAGAAAAATTAATATTTATTATGTTAGGGGATGTGGATTCATTTCCCATTTTTTGAAAAGGTCTCTGTTACATCTTTCTATCAGTTTTTTTAAAAGGAAAAAGTAATCAAGGAGGAGTTGATAAAGTTGAAAAACAAATTAGTGATGACTAAAAATAGCACCCAGGCTTGCTCACTTCTAGACCAGTGTCTTTCTGGTAGAACAGAGGAAAATGGAACAGGCAAGTCATGCTATTTGAGAGCCTGGAGCTGAGACTGTCACAAGCAAACACACATGGAGAAAACATTAAACATGAAAATGGTAAGACCTATTTTAGGTTCATAAATCAGGATGTGAGTTTCCAGGCAACAGACACATCCACTCCAGTTTTCCACTCCTCAGGACTGGTTTACTGTAGCACTTGATGAATGCTGCTTATTCAAAAGATGTCATTTGCTACAGTGTTTGTCTTTAAACAGATGTGCTGTTTCTCCAGAACCCTATGAGCTGTCCCAGTTGGAAGGGCATGAGGACACTGGTATGCACTCAGCTCACTTAACCCTCTGGAGTCCAAAAATACCCTAATGCAGTAACTGCTCTGTTGTTAGTAACACAATACACAATAAACACAAGGGCAGCCTTCTTGGTGTTTGTGGGCACTTAAAGAATGAAACATAAAATTCCCTCAGGATGAGGCAGTAATTTGTCAGTGTTATTACTTGGTAATTAATTTGCTGTCCTTTGGCCCCAAACACTTGGATTCTTGATTCAGAAAGCAGATGTGCTATCTTAATAGAATTGCAAGCCATCCAAACAACAACATTCAAAGAAAACCTTTAATATATTCAATAGATCATAAACCAAATAATTGAGCTAGCAACAAGAAGATACTGTGTCACCTGGGTTAAAAATAGTAAATTACATAAGGCCTAAGGAAATGGGTGTGCATTTAATTGTGGCTTTCGAATTCACCAATTACCACATTCAAAATGGGCTTAAATAGATACTAAGTCACTCTCTGAAATCACAGAAGATTGATACTATGTGTGTGAATTGTAGGTAATGCTTAGGAATACTGGAAGGTACACATCTACACAATGAGTTACACTTACTTGATCAACCCATCTTCCATGTATATATCTGCATAGAATGACTGGTCATCATTAACGATTTTACCTCCTTTGATCAGAAGACGATCACTCTGAAACGAAGACGTAATAAGGTCACAATGCATACCTGACCCACGAGAAACATAGATAAATCAGCTAAAGACATATTTTCACTATTCAAAAGTGATGCTCAAAATGAGCCAATTTGGAAAGGTTCAATGACAAAGGTGAACCTGTATGGTGGCAACCTATTCATCACCCAATGAGTCAGAACATACTGGCAAAGCTCAAAGTTTATCATAGGTTTAAAAGAAAAGAAAACTTCTTTCCAGAAGACAATACTTTTTAAATGTCTTTAGGCTAAACTTCATTTAAAAAAAAAAAAAAAAATACACCCACATGGAGGGAAGTCAATTCTTGGCAAGGTTTGTGTCGGGAAAATTAACCAAAAGTCTGTTGTCATGGGAAAGTCTACACAAACATACTTGGTTCCTCCATAACAAGTTTCCAATTCAGTATGTTCTTTATATTTGCATTTCTCTTTAAAGTAAATCACAAAGAGTGTAGTAAAGCGGGAAAAACATTTCAAATGTGCACCATTTTAACTATTAAGCTGTTAAGAAAAAGGTGAAGATTTATAATTAAGTAGACGAGATGGCAAGTTCTCAAATCTAACACCACTATAGACTGTTGATACACTTATATTTTAAATGATGCAAAGAAAAACTTGACAAGCACATATGAAGACCAGGAATACAACCAAAATGTCACTTTATGACTCATCGCTATGCCAAAGGCTGTTGATGAATGAAAAGTTAAAATTCTGCATTCAATGTATACACACCTGTGCTATTCCAGAATAGGTTGAAACATTGTAAATTGAACCACAAATTGCACTTTTAATATGCAAAACATTTCAAAGGCTGGCATTCACTTTGACAATGGTTTACTCAAAATTCAGTTGCAAAACAACATTCTAGGGAAGTACTATTTATATCTAGGGAAGTACTATTTATATTTAGCACCTACCAAGAAAAAAATTACAGCAAATTTGTAATAAAAAAGATTTATAAACTATGAGAGACCCAGAGAATATATACTTATATATAAATGCAAACATGGGGTTAGAAAGCGTTTATTGTTTCTCTAATATAATGAAAACCAGTAAGACCACTTAAATTTTGTACACTGTAGGGTACAAAGTCAACCTGCCATAGGCTTTGGAAAGTCTAGTTGTTGGAAAGCCAACAACTCTTGTAGTTGTATAAGATAAATGTAAAGACCTTTACAAAATCCTATGTGTACACCATGTCAAAACAAATCTATGAAGCAGATGGCACCAGATTATTTCCATGACACTGAGAAACTGAGGCTCAGAGAGGTTAGGCCACATAGCTCTCCCTCTCTCCATCAGTTCCAGCCTTGACAGGGTAAATATTGCCTGGGAGGCAAGGAGAAGCCCTGCCCTTCACCACCTGCTCCCTTAGTAGCTGAGGTACCTGATCCCGCTATCACTGTGAATCCCAGAGCCAACACCACGCCAAGAAAAAAAAATGAAACATCACAGTCTGGTTCGGTCTAGTGCCTTCCAGAAGGCTTCTTACATAAGAGGCTGGCCGTGATGATCGACGGAGGAAAACCATGCTACACAGGTCCTACATAATGCAACCAAATTTTTTAAAGGGTAGAGGGGGCGCTCTTTTAAAAATCCGTCTTGTTTGCTTTTTAAATTTTTTTCTCCCCACAATGTCAAAACGAAACTGCCTTTTTCATTCACGAAGACAGCAAATTATTTGAGGCTCGCAGCAGATCTGCTCTCCACCCCCACTCCCCAGACTCCTTTCTCCCATCAGGAAACACACGACGTCGGGTTCCCCCGGGGCCCGGCCCTTTGGGATGTTGGGTCTTTAGCCTTCCAGAAAAAGCCAGTACCCACCCTCCCTGTAGAACTGCCTAGCTCATCCTACAAAATCCACCCGAGCACACGCCCCCTCCCCTGTGCATTTGTTTCCACATCTCTCTCCTGCGGATGGGTGTGCCCTTGTGCATCCAGAGGAAGCTGGGGAACCCGTGGCTACGGAGGAAACCAGAGCGAAAGCGCGCCCTCAAATCCAGCCCTGAACACATCTACACTTTTCAAAGATTCTTTCGGTCTCTGCCTCAGCTCTGGGCTCTACCCAGCAGTCAGCTGGCCATTTGCAATTGCACATCATTATATAACAATGAATTTCCCTCGCCTTCCTCCCTTCCTCCCCAGGATTTCACTTGGGGTGTAGAGAACTAGGATTGAAGAGATTTTTCCAAGAAAGATGGGGAGAGGGTTGTGGGCAGGGGAGCGGTGGGAGCAAGAACCTGTGTTCATCGCTGAAGCAGCGCCAATTCATCGCTTAGATGTTTTTCTTGTGATTTACAAACTAATCACTGGAGGCTGCAGAACTGCGCGGACACCACCGGCCACGGCGATCATTGTCTGGCCGAGGCCGGACCGGGCCATCTGCTCCTCGCGTCGTGCAGCGCCATTACCTCCCCGATCCTGTCTCGGCGTTGTCCCCAACGCCCACCCTTCCAGCCTGCTTTGTTGCACCAATAAGGGACAGGAAGACACAAGAAAGCGAGCCCAGAGCCTTACCAGGGTCCCAGCCTCCAACCAGAAGGCGAGAACACCAAGAGGGCCACAAAAAAAACGGTCCCTGGTCAACAAAAAGCCAACGCCTGGCCCCTACCCTCCTCTGCTCATCACTGTGTCCCTGTTTTTCCTTCACGTTTCCAAATTATCCTGGTACGCCCTGCCCTTTCAGCATCCCTCTGCTGTCATTACGCCTCCAGGCGAAACCCGCTCGTTTTTCTAAAGAGCTGGAGGAAGGCTCCAGAAAGCCCTTTATGGTGTGGGAGGGAGGCACAGGGAGAATCCATTTCCCATCTCCCCAACCAGCTCCCAGAGTCCAGTCTCGCAGCACGCAGTCCAGAGAACAATATCCGAGCTTCAACCATGCATATTCAATCTGGCATCCATTTGCTTACACCCCGCAGGCCAGCACTGCAGCATCACGCTCTGACAATAAAAGGATACAGCGGATCTGGCGCGCTACCCAGGACGACCTTAATGCACACACGCTCCTATTTTAATGCCTTACAAATCATGTGGCTTATAATTCTATATGATTGCGTCTCCCACCATCGCGATTGCCTTTAGCAACGGGGGGATGGGGGGAGAGTTGGGTCTCTCTTCCTCCCTCTCCTTTTAAAAAATTCCTTCGATGTTCTGTGCCACAAAAGGTATGCAGGCCGACCGCAGATTTCCCAAGTACCAAACTCACCGTGATGCGTGGAATATTTTTCTTCCCCTGATAAGACATCTCTCTCCTGGGAAAAAAAAGATAATTTCAAGAGGGCAGCTTTAAAGCCAAAATTGCCAGGAAAGAGACTTGGTATTTTTTGCAGTACTGAAAAAGGTGCAACCGCTTAGCTGGTCTTGCTGATAGCGAATTCCAGGAACGTAAAGGATAAATGCAATCCTCTGCCTTTCTTCCTCTCCTCCAACACAGCCCCAGCTAGGGCGGAAAAAAAAAAGAAAGAGAGAGAGAACGGGAGGGAAGGGGGTGGAAATAAACTACAGCAATAAAAGCCTCGGTTCAAGTCGCCCACCGCGGCGCATGCGCTACCAGCCACTCCCTTTCCTCTCCGGCAAAAGCCATCCGCTTCGAGAGAGACGAGCTCTGATTGGCCACAATCGTGGGATATGTAAATGATGCAGGCGGGGAGGGGAGCGGCGCGAGAGCGCGAAAATGCTGCAGTGTGCGGCGGAGGGCGGCGGTCCCTGCCGGCGCCCGAACGGGGAGCGCGCTTTTCGCGCCCTTTCTTTGGGCTGGGGCATCGGGGATCGTGGCTGGCGGCAATCCCAAATGCAGCATCCGCAACGCAGGGCCAATGGCGGGGTGATCATTACGGACAGGGAGAGCCCAACCCGGAGTCGGTGGGCTTCGGTGCAGCCCGGGCGGCACGCACCCGCTCGCGCGTGCCCCGGTGGATGCCCGACCGCGCGCCAATCCGCGGAGGCCGCCGCTGCAGCCCCGCGTGGGGTGACTGCGCGGAGCCAATGGCTTCGCTGGCGGCGAGCGCGCGACTGCACCGCCGACCGGCGCCGCGCCGCCCGGGAGGGGCGCCCGAGCCCTCCTCCTGCCGCCCTCGCCTTTCGCGAAGGCTCGCTCAGCCTCCGCCCAGGAGTCGACGAGGGAATTCAAATGGCAGCGAGCGGAGGGAAGGGAGCGGGGAGGGCTCGCCGCGGCGCCGCCCAGCCCCAGAGGGGGGAGTCTGGACGCGAGCCTGCGAGTGGAGCGGCGCTGGGGCGTCCCGCGGGGCTCCCCGGGGGCGGGGAGGGGTGCGGGCTCGAGGCGAGGCTGGAAATCTAGCCTGCGGTCAGGCGCTGGGCTGCAAGCATCCGCGCGGCCTGGCACCTGGGAACTAAAAGTCAAGGCTTTCCTCCTCTGAGTAGGGAAGGACGGAGCCGGGGAAGGCCGCAGTCTGCTGCTGGGGATGGGAAACCCTTCCCTGAACAGTCCCTTTGTGTTTTCGGGTCGCAAGGAACTTGGGGGCTAAGGAGAGTAGCAGCCACACGTTGAGGCAAAAAATGGCCCGAATTAGGGCCCTGTTCTCTAACACTCATGCCCACCTAGGCCATTTTGGGGACATTTCGCTGGTGCCTGCAGATCTGTCACGGAAAAGCTGTTAGGATCACAGCACCCAAGGAGCCCAAAGAATAGACAGACCCCCACCCACATAATGAGGCAGAAAGCGAGATGAACAGGAGATGCAGGAGGAATGAAAGAAAGGAAAGCTGTTCCAAAAGAAGGGGAAATGGAGTCATGGAGAAAACCTCCCGGAATCGGAGTTTAAAACGCGGAGTCCTCACTCCCCAGAGATCCTAATCACACCTAAAACGGCATTCAAGGCCTCTCTTGGCTCTAGAAATTGAATAGGCCTAAGATCCCTTGACTTTGTCACAATACCCGTGGGGCGAGGCGGGAAGGGAGGGAGCTGGGGAAGCTGGTCCAGTGGATCCCGAGCAAGCTACCATGGGTCATTTCTCTGAAAG